TCTATCTATCTATCTATCTATCTATCTATCTATCTATCTATCTATCTATCTATCTATCTATCTATCTATCTATCTATCTATCTATTTTTATTGTCATTACACTGTCACAAGTACAGCGCAATGAAATTCACTCTTTGCGTCACCTTTGGGACCAGTTGGCTGCTATATGAGGCAGGGGAGCAGTGTGGGGTCAAGGGTCTTTGCTCAGGGAGCCAGAGTCAGCCTATGGGAGTGGGTTTCAAACTCACAACCTCAGGATTCCAAGCTATATGCCTTAACTACTAGGCCTCCACTCCCCTTAAACACAGTGCTGAATACTGGGGTTGCTCACACCCAACAGTTACATTAGGTAAAGCATGTTATATAATCAGGTTTTGATTTTTGAGATGAATATTCATTGTTTTTTTAAAGAAAGGGGAAAAAAATCAAAGAGTCAAAGTAATGCAATCTTGGGGGCAATATTGAAGGTTTGTATGTTCCCTCAAGTAGAGTAAGCAATATGTTGATAAAAAACAAATCTTATCTTGTGTTTAATTGGTTATCCCTACCTTCAAATAATTAAAACGACATATAGCCAATGTATAAACCAAAGGCTTATCTACACAGATGGTTCTAGTATTACATTAGGTATGGTGAAAGGTGTTAAAGTCAGTTAGCACCCAACCCCAGGACCACATATTCACAGGATCCCCAAACTACTGCCCATGTATATTTTCTTTTCAAAGTCTGCCCCTGGCTGTGGATACCAGAGGTGAATAAATAAGCTGATGCCTGTTGTGGGTCTCTGTTACAACCCCAAGGCTCACGAGATGCTCTCCACAAACAGCAGCATGTTTCAATAAATCTCTCTTGATTTATTATTCCTTTGACTGATTATACGAATGTAAATATTCAGTAGGAAAATATATAGTCTGGGTGACAGAGTGTCTTTTGCAAGCACCACCATGCCGCCCTGCTGGGTCAGAGCTCCATTGCCACTCACAATTATTTATTAGGCTACATATTCCCTCTCTATCCATCACCACATTGCCACCCGGCCTGGTCACATCTCTTAATGTTTATTACAGTGTCCCACCTTCCACCAGGAGGATGATTGACGCTTTGTCAGAGGACCGAGGTGGGACTTGCGCGCTCCTTTCTCTCCAATCGTGGCTTGAAGGGGGCGGAGGCTCTTCATCCAATACTCTGATTATGAGTCAGTTACCAGACATAAGCGAAACAATAACAGTTGGTGGGCTGGTTTGCGCTCAGGTCCAGGTTAAGTCTTTCAGCGCGTTTTTGTTTGTTTGTTTGTTTATTTTTGCGCATCAGACTCTCAGTTCTATGCATCCTTCAGCGCAGGAGCATAACGCGCTCCACTTTTAATCAGATTAAGATTAGCCCTGCGTTTCCTTCGTCCCTACAGTAGCGGTGCAGGAGTGGCCAAAGCCAAAAGCAGCGATTCAGATCAGATTTCACCTAAACCAGCTGGGAGAGAGAGAGAGCTGAGGAGAGGAGAGAAGAGAAGAGCAGAGGGTTTGTCAGTCTCCCTCCTCCCAAATCCAGAAAAGCTTACCAAGGAAAAAAGGAGGAGTGTCTGCGCGCAGATAGACGCGAGGAATCCAGAGGAATTTCCCGAGGATATTTGGTCTTCTTTCCTTCCCCCCTCCCTCCCTTCCTCCCCCCTCTGCACGTCAAATTAAAAAACAACAACAAGAAGAAAAAGTTGGAGGGGAGGCAGCGGGGACCGTGGTCTGGGATGGACGAGCAGCCGCGGCTGATGCACTCCCACGGGGTAGGCATGGCCGGACACCCCGGCCTGGCGCAGCATATGCAGGATGGCACGGCGGGGACGGACGGAGAGGGAAGGAAGCAGGACATCGGAGACATATTGCAACAAATCATGACCATCACAGACCAAAGCTTAGACGAAGCGCAGGCGAGGTAAGACTCAACTAATAAAAAATGCTTTTATTTATGGGGACAAACAGAGGAAGAGGAAAGATGATAGTGGCTTCATAGAACCGCCTGTAAGCAATGACGCCCACTGAAGTGTCGATCTGCGCGCAAGCAACAGAAAAACCCTGGAAAACTTAAAGATTTCACAATCTGGCAACTTTTGTGTGATTATTTCCTATCGGGATTATTAATTAGTGCCTGATTATAGCGGATTAGGAAAAGAACCTGTTTTATCTGTGAGGGACTTGGCAGCTCAGTCACTCTCAGAGTATTTTGCCTTAATTGTTACAAAGGAGCTTACATTGTAATCCTGTGCCATAATAACAGGATGCAGATCATCTTCTATGGTTTACCACATGCACAAAACGCAAAAAGTTATCACATAAAAATAATATATATGTTTAACAGGTGAGGTGTAAATAAATATATTTTTTTAATCTATGGGTCATGAAATAGCAACATTTACAACATGGTTAATTTTAAAGAAATGAGTCGGGTTTTGTGGAGATGCACTGAGGGTTCCCCTGACCGGTGCCGATATCCAGTTATAGTGAGAAATATCCTGCTGATTCTTCACTCCATATACCGATTTTATTGACTTTAAATTTCTGTTAACTATACAGAATAAATCTGTTACTGCTCTGTTTATAGGGTTGGTCAACTATCCACATCTATTCATCAAATTGTGTTTATTTGTTTTTTTATCACAAAAAATGCATCAGATTTGTAATGGGAAAAAACATAGTTTTGATGCAGGTAACTGATGCAAAAAAAAAAA